TCTTAGAGTGAATCAATGTGGTCTACTGCTACGAGACTTTTCACCAGTCATGTCATCTACGTACACCTCCATCGTTCGCCTGATCTGAGACTGGAACATCTTGTTCACCAACCGTTGGTAGGTTGCTCTTGCGTTCTTTAGTCCGAAGGGCATGACCCTGTAGCAGTAGGTTTCCCTTCGGAGTGATGAATGATGTCTTCTCTTGGTCTGGGGGTACATGCTAATTTGGTTATACCCAGAGTAAGCATCCAAGAAGGTGAGCAACTCATGCCTCGCAGTAGCGTCGATGAAGAGGTTGATCCATGGCAGCGGGTAGTTGTCTTTTGGGCACGCCTTGTTGAATTCTGTGAAGTCGACGTAGAGGCACCACTTCCTATTAGCTTTAGTGAATGTCACCATGTTGGAGAGCCACTTAGGATATTTTACTTCTCTGATGGCCCCATTGTCTATTAGCTTTTCCACCTCCTTGTCCATAGCTTGGGCCCTTTCAGTGGAGGCGCCCCTTAGCTTTTGGCAAATAAGCTTGTGGCGTGGATCAACATTGAGATGGTGTGTGGTTATTTCTGGGTCGATGCCCTCAAGGTCTGTATGTGACTATGCAAAGACGTCCATGTTACGTCTCAAAAAATCTATTAGCAGGTCAACCCGATCTCCAGAAAAGGAAGAGCCAATGTGTACTCTTCTGTCTGGGTGTTCTTCATCCAAGACCATAGGGGTGAGCTCCTCGACTGGTTCTCCTCTCTCTATGGTGGAGTCATCCCTTGGGATAAGGACCTCAACTTGCAACGCCTTCTGCGGCTTCCTGGTCTTTGTAGAGGAGACATAGCACTCTCTTACTATTACCTGGTCTCCTCTGACCTCTCTGACTCCATTAGGGGTTGGAAAGTGGAGGATGAGATGATAGGTGAAGGGCACAACTCTTAATGTGTTGAGCAGTAGGTTGCCCCAATCTGATGTTATAGGCTAATGGGCAGTTTATTACCAATAAATTGACCATGACTGTGGAGTTTTGAGGTGCTATTTCAGCTATGACAGGTAGGGTGATGGACCCTAGGGGATACACCTTATCCCCTGAGAACCCAATGAGGGGTGATCTAATAGGTTGTAGTTTTTCCCTGCCCAAGTTAAGTTTGTCATAAGCCTTTATGAATAGGATGTCTGCAGAGCTGTCGCTATCCACCAGGATCCTGCACACCTAAAAATTGACCACGGTCATGGTGAGCACCAGGGGGTCATCATGGGGGTGCTGGATTCCTTCCAAGTCTTTATTTGAGAAAGATATGACCTCGCTATGACCCTGCTTTGGCGCCTTGAATGGGCGCAACTCGTCGAAGTGTCTCGCCTTTCTGGCATGGGCCTTTACTACAGAGAATGATTCTCTGCCTCTTTTTAGTCCTCCCGAGATGGTGTGGATCTCCCTAATGAGTTGCTGATCTTCTTGATTGTGAGGTGGTCTAGTGGATCCTTCGTTCCATCAAAAGTCTATACGGATGTAATTTTGAACTTTTGAGGGAGGGGATAGTTGGTCACGTCAGGTTTGAAAGGTGTGTCTATACGCCTTACCAGGTAGTCCACTATCACGGGTCCCTGTGCCTTCATGGCGTTGAAGACATCACCTGGTTGATTTTGTACTTTCTTGATTTTCTCATCCCAATGATTTAGGATTTCTCTAGAATGATCATGAAAATGACTCCAATGCTCCATGCTTTGGTTCTCGCCATCATCCTCTTGGAGATGAAAGTCTTCACCATGGGAAGTAGGAAGAGGAGGAGGGGTGAAAATCCCTCATGATGAGCTCCCCTATGTGGGGCGCCCAATGGGACTCCAAAGAGGGCGCCCAGCCCTACAGGGGAGCATTCGAAACAGGGTTGGTAAGTGGAAGAGCAACCTCCTCCTCTTGTGGTGGATTGTCTTCAGGTTGGTTCATGGATTTGGTAGTGATCGCCATTGGTTTAGCAAATAAAATGCTTAGAAGTGAGAATTTTGTTTTTCCCGCAAATGGCGCCAAACTGATATTGCGCAAAATGGTTTTGCACACCACCTGTCAAGTGATTAAAAATAAATACAGTAATTAAAAGTAAAGAGAGATGGATGAGACAAGATTTATAGCGGTTCGGTCAAATCATGACCTACGTCCACTTTTGAGTGGCTTTGGTCGCTGGGTACTTTATTAGCTCAAAGGCATGAGGAGTAGAGAGTACATACTTTGAGGGAGAGGAGAGAGTCGTACTCAGGTAAAAGTGTGATGCCCCCTAAGTATTGGTGGAGTGTGCAATTTATAGTGGCCTCCTAACAGATTGGGGCTACTTTACAACAACTAAATGACTATTCTAGTGGAGCTTACGACTTCTTCTCCATCGCGAGGAGGTTGAGTAGCTCTCCATGAGATGCGGTCAAAGATGAGGTGAGAGTGGACTATTTTCTCTGCGGTGCAGGTAAGGCCTCCATGCTATCCCTCTTGATGACGTAGCCAAGTAGAGAGTTTGACTGGTCTTGGATTGTGTTGGGCTTGAAGGATCTTTTACAAGCTTGGGCTCCTTAATTGAGATTGAGCTTTCCTCATAAAATGAGCTATTTGGGATAGACCCACCACTCTTTTTTCTGAAAAAAAAAAAAATTATTTCTTTTTGAGAAAAAAAACTGATTTTGTTTTCTGGGAAAAAAAAACCAGTTTTTTGAATTTTCTAGAAAAAAAGTGTTCGAGAAAAAAAAAAATTGTCCTCTAGAGACTAAGAAAAAAAAATCATCAGTTTTTTTGAAAAAAAAATTGTTTTTTGTTTTTCTAGAAAAGAGTTTCTTGAAAAAAAAGTTTTTATTGAATTTTTTTTAGTAATAGAATATCTAAAGGGATTTACAACAATAAAAAAAAACACTAGTAGCTACTTGCTTTAATAAAAAAAAATATAGCTACTTGCTTTGAAAAAAAAAATTAAAGTTTCAAGAGCTATTACAATAATTCAAACAGTTTTCTTAATTTCGTTACAAATAGAGTTACAGTTGACATTTAAATTCAATACAAGTTATTTGCATTTCTCTTATTATTTCTTTGCCCTTGAATTCTAAGTAATTCTTCATTCGAACGTTAGTATATATATTATAACATGAGGTAAGTAGATGTTAACTAAAGTTTCAAAATTAGTGGGTACCTAATAGTTATTTGGGGAATGTTAGATCTATCAATGTGTGTCCATATGTTTATTCTATAAATTAAGGACACGTCCATTATTATTGGAGATATTATTTTTGTGATTAATGTGTTTACACTTCATTACATGAACATATACATGTGATATCTAATTACTCTAATATCACATTAGTTAAAGGGCCGTTATGTAGATTCATGACACAAAAAACTCTAGACAAGAGAAGATAGTATTTATTAGAAGTATTTACTAGAAGAAAAAAAAAGGAAGAAATTTTTTTTTGAAAATATACATAAAACAAAAAACATAAAGCTTGATTCGTAGAATTCATAACCACAATCACATGAAACTAGAAGGAAGTTACCCAGATAAAGAACCTTCTTGCTGTACTCTTACAACTCATGGTATTCTTTAGCATCCTAACGTACCATGTTTCTATCTCACATGAACTCCATGAACATGTTTGTAAAAGTTGGATCCACTGAAGTTGATCAAGCTATAGTTTTGAAATTTGTTCTTTTATATTGATCATATAATTCAGTCTAGAGAAATATTTTTTAAAAAAACCACTAAAGTAGTGAACTTAGTTTACTTCAACTTTCTGTTTGGATTAATTAATATATATTAACATTCCATTACAAACAGTGTGATAAAAATCAGCCTATTAATTTTCTCATAGGATAAAATATTGCACTTCTTGCCATGGGCTTATATGAAGCACTGATAACTTTACAATAGAAATTGCGTAAGTGAGTGACACCTGATGGATTATAACATGATTTCATTCGATGGTGTGTGAGATCCTACTCTTTGTGTTATTTATAAGTATTCACATTTGTCTAATGATTGGTTCCATATAAAACTTCGTTATAGAATATTAAAATAAACAAGAAAATTGGTTATGGTAGTGGTAGTGGTGGTGTGGGGCAGTGATGGTGGTGAGGTGGCAATGGTGAAAATAGTGGTAATGGTGATGGTGGTGGGGGCAACAGTGGTGGTGGTGGGGTGGCCGTGATGGTGATTGTGGTGGTGCGGTGGGGGTGGGGGTGGGGTGGGGGTGGGGGGTGGGGGTGGTGTTAATGTGTCATTCCAAACACTATTTTTCTTTTAAAATACTTATGAAAAATTATAAGTTTTAGAAGCAATTTTGAAAAATCACTCCAAACACACTGTGGTAATAAACATAAGAATGAGATGATGATGGTGGTGGGTGGCGGCAGTAGGCGACCGTGGTAACAATCGGTGGTGGGTGGTGGCAATGGTGGTGGTGAGACGGTTTCAAACACTACTTTTTTTTCTTTTTAAGGTACTTATAAGAAGTTATAAGTTTTAAAAACACTTTCAAAAAGTTACATCAAACACACTCTTAGGGATCATATTTTTCCTATTAAAATTGGGGAGTTAATATTAGCTATTAGATTAACTTTAAAGTAAAATTTAACACGATCTCAACCGCGAAAAGTAAAAATTATTTGTTTATCTTTTAAAATTTGAATTATTTTGTATTTTATTATATAGATATGCAAACTGAGATAAAAATATAAGGAAAATGGAGATACAATATTTTATATGTTGACCCTAAATGAGTGTTGCAGCTAATTGGGGGGGGGGGGGGGGGATGGTGAATGGAAAGACATTCAACATGTGGAGGGAAAAGGAACAGTGCATATTTAAGACCACATAAAAATTGTATTATTCAGATAAAATCTGAATACAAGTTGCAAGCGCTTCCACCCGACCAATCCCTTCAACTGTTGCAACTACAGAGAAGAGAAACAGAGAGAATAACTACAAAAAGTCCACCCAGGCCAAATTATTTTGTGTAAAATACTGTAATTTAGATACCTTTATGATGCATTAAACCGTTCTACAATTTGCAATGAACTGAAGTTTGATCTTCTTGAGGGCTGACAGAACATCTTTGATGCAGATCCTCTCCTCTGGTAATTCTACACTGCAATTTAAAGCCAACTCCATGATGGATGATACACACTGGACCTTGGTTTTTAAGTTCGGTTCCTCGGGTCTTATCAAGTTGGCATCTATCACCTGGCTGATTGCATTTGACAGTGACTCATTTATCCAACCCTTCAGACTCAAATCTTCAGCAAACATTTCATCAGTAGGCTTCTTTCTTGAAAACATTTCTATTAACAGAATACCATAGCTGTAAACGTCACACCTTGTAGATATTAATCCTTCCAATCCATACTCTACATCCATTTATCAAAAGAATCAAGATTCTGGTTAGGAAAGTATAACATACCACAGAAAGTATAACATACCACAAAAATTATTACATTTGACCTGATAAAAAAAAGCAAAAATCAAAAACAAAAATTATTAAAAAAAAAAAGGAAAAACACAGAAGAAAGGATAGATGAAAATATAAACTACTAGCCGAAAGCGTCACCTGGTGGAATATACCCAACTGTTCCAAGGGTCGTGGTTTGTACAAGACTCTCTGCCGCACTAAATAACTTTGCAATGCCAAAATCAGTCAAGTGTCCCACCATATCTACATCCAGCAAGACATTGCTGGGCTTCAAATCACAGTGTACCACAGGTGTTGAATAACCATGGTGAAGATATTCCAATGCACATGCCACATCTATCATTATGTCTAATCTCTGTGTAATGTCTAAGTAATAGTTGTGAGAATACAACCACTTTTCGAGACTCCCATTAGGCATGTAATCGAGCACTAAGGCTTTGAAATCAAGATTAGAGCAACTGCTAATGACTTTAGTTAGATTTCGGGGGCGAAGGTTGCGTAATACATCACATTCATTATCAAAACTCTTGAATGCACCTTCCATTTGCATATTGAATACTTTAATGGCAAAAGACGTCCCATCCGCAAGTATCCCTTTGTAAACTGAGCCAGAACTTCCTGTGCCGATTAAGTTGCTTTCACTAAACCCATCAGTTGCCCTTCAAAGTTCATGGTATGAAATTCTTTCATGCACTATTTTGGGTAAAAGATCATTTTGGGCCGGTGTGTGATTCCTTCTTCGACCTCTTATCAGCAATAATACAATGGTCAAAGCAAGAACTAAAGATGTGTTGTGATCGTGCAGCAATTATGGTGAATAGTAAGGAATCAAACAATTAAGAAAGCAGGAGAAAATAACACACAGAGATTTTACGTGGTTCGGCAATGTGCCTACATCCACGAGAGCGAGCGGCTGTTCTTTTCCTTATTGAAGTAGGGTTACATCTTAAGTATTTATATAACCCTAATATGGACGTATTTACAAAAATACCCCTGTACCGTACCTCCACGAGAGCGAGCGGCTGTTCTTTTCCTTATTGAAGTAGGGTTACATCTTAAGTATTTATATAACCCTAATATGGACGTATTTACAAAAATACCCCTGTACCGTACCGCGGGGGCGTTGCCCCCGCACCCCCAACTTATCAGCGTCCCCTATATATAAATCCCGCAAGGCAGATGCCGTCACGGGCTCCGCTCCGCTACGTTACGCTTCGCTCCACTCCGCTACGCTCCGGCATCTGCTTCCTTGCCATTATGCACATAGTAAAATATGAGCCACACATACTCTAACAAGATGCAATCCCCAACGAGGCAAATACAATTAGAAGCACTCTCCTGTTCTTTGATCTATGGTGAGAATTAGAATCACATGGCGGGAATTGCAACCAAGGAGCACCACAAAATGCTTCATTCGACATAAAAGATCCCTTCGTGAAGTTCATGAAAGGACCTCCATTGGGAATCTCCCCTCTTAATCTATTGAAAGAAACATTGAAGTATGTAAGCCGTTGGAGTGCCTCTAACGATTTTGGTATCACGCCAGAGAGATTGTTCTGGGACAGATCCAAGAATTCCAAGCTTATCAGCCCACTGAATGACTCAGGAATAGATCCTTGTAATCTATTGTCGTCTAAAAAGAGTTTAATGACGTTTTGCAAACCACCAACTGTGCTAGGAATATCACCTGAGAACTGATTTGATGAGAGGTCTATAACTATTGCAACCTTTAAACTACCGATTCCTGGGGATAAAGGACCAGTTAAGAAATTTTTGTGTACTTAGATCCTCAAAAGATCTTTGAGGCTCCACAGACTTTCAGGTATGCTGGAAGTTAATCTGTTGGAGCTTAAATGAAGATATCTTAGAGAAGTGATATTCCCTAAGCATGCAGGGATTGAAGCTGAGAGATTATTTCTGCTCAAACCTAAGTAAGTCAAGTTCTTTAGATTGCATAGGTTTTCTGGAATGGATCCTCAAATTCTGTTGTCTTCAAGACTTAACGCCTGAAGCTTCAATAATCCTCTGACTGTGGCCGGAATGAAGCCAGTCAAGTCATTTCCATATAGAATCAAGTATGGCAAATTGCTCAAATTACCAATTTCTGCAGGAATGTCTCCTTTGATTGTACAATTACTTGCGGCAAAATTTTGAAGACTAGTTGAGAAATTCCCAATGGAAACTGAAATGGTGCCATTTAGAGGATTATCAACTACCCATAACACTCTCAAAAATCTACAATTTGTCAGGGAAGTTATGAAGCGCAGTTCTGATTCTGACGATGAAGATGCACAAGTTAAATTGTTCCTTCCCAAGTTTAGAATCTCCAGGAGTTTTAAACTGCCAAGTGAGTTCGGAATTGGGCCACTGAATCTATTGGAAATGAGATCAAGCTTAGTAAGTTTAGAAGCATTGGAAATAGAGTCGGGGATAACTCCAGTAAGAGTATTGGAACCCAAACAAAGTTGTTCTAGATTGGGTAGTCCATGGCCTATATTTGATGGAAGATTTCCAGAAAGGTAATTGTAAACAAAGAGAAATGGCCAGTAGGGTAGATACGTTAAAGAGCGTTGCTGGAATGTGACCTCTTAAACTATTCAAATCCATTTCTAATACTCCCAAATTGCGAAGATTACCGATCTCTTTTGGTATAGCTCCTGCCAAAATGTGAAACCACTACCATAAATTCATTCGTCAAGGAATTCTGCAAAGCTATAAATATATTTAATGGACGATAAGTGTAAGACTACAATACCACGTTGAGTTGTAACTAATCTTTTTCATTTTTATCTTGATCTCCAAAAACTAACCCGTACTTATTTTCTAAATTTTGGTACTATAGTAAACTCGATACCACTTTCTTACCAGATACTAAAAGAGGGGCAAGCAGAATCACTCTAATGCCCCCGACGAAAAAGGACAATAACAAAAGAAAGACAATTAGAAATAGTTTTGTGCCTTTGAATGTTAAATCAGATCGGTGAGGTTAAAGCCATTCTGCACAATGTTGTTACAGGTAGAAGATTATATGTTTACCGGTGAGGCCAGCTTGCTCTGCGGTTAATATCTCCATACTAAGATTACCAATCTGTTGGGAAATTTCACCTGTAAAAGAATTTTCAAAATAAGACTGGAAGCATATATATATGGGAACTAACAGTAGAATCTCGATAAAAATAAAAAATAAAAAATAAAAATTAATGTAAGTATTTCAATCACGAAGGCTGTACAACAGTATCCTTACATCACAAAGCATATATCATTTATATTCTTTTCTTTCTCCTATTGAGAAACAATGAAAACTATGGAAATTTTGCATGGAAAATGTAAATGTTCATAGAGACAATGTTGGTACATTTTGTTGGAGTATAGATAGTAGTCTAGGTCTTTTTTACCCTTACTATGATTTTTATATTTTGCCTAAACTACAAGGATATTTAAGTCACTCTGTATTATTTTTGGCTATATATACGGGACTCTACTTTGAGTTTGTGTATCCCTTTCACATATTTCAAGTTAGTATCAGAGCCAAAACCCTAGCCCCCATCTCTAAGCCTAACCCTAACCTTAACCCTAACCTTAACCCTAGCCTTCATCACCTTCCCAGCAGCCACCATTCCAAAACATTCAAACAATCTGCAACAGCCTGCCCAACCTCCAGCGCCACACCAGAACCAGAACCAGAACCCAGCCAAAATCGTCTACCATTCCACCGACTGAAAACTGATTACACCGAACCAGCGACTCCAGCGCCACACCAGAACCAGAACCAGCGACTCCACCGAAAAACCAAAAACTGATTACACCGAACCAGCGACTCCAGCGACTCCAGCGCCACACCAGAACCTGCCCACCGAAACCAACCATATCGAAGAACCAGCGACTCCAGAACCTGTTGCTTCCAACCGACACCGACTGAAACCAGTTGCACCGACCGAAACTCCTATAGCCCAGCCACCGACTGCCCATAAAGCACCGACTGAAACCAAAACATGTTTCAGTCCACCGACTGCCCATAAACCACCGACTGCCCAGCGAAACAGTCTCTCTTCCTTTGCAGGTGTATGCTCGTTGTCCTCGCTCTCATCACCCTGCTGATATCCCCTCTACCTCAGGCGATGCAGGTAATACTTCTCAGTTTGTTGAGCATATTGATGCACCTGTTGTTAGTACTGATGAGATTACAGGTGCTGAGCCAGTTACTTTACCTGATAAGATATTATCAGTAGAGGATGGTGATTTAGGGCGTCGTTATCCAAGGCGTGATCGCCGTCCAGTTGATCGATATGGTTGGACCGCCAAGATTTTATATCCGATCTCTGCTTATGTTTCTTATGGTAATCTGTCTCCCACATTTCGAGCTTATACTATGGCCTTATCAGATACGCTGGTTCCTCGCTCTATTTCGGAAGCTATGCGGGAGCCCCAATGGGTTCTTGCCATGCAGACAGAGATGGACGCTCTTCAGCGTAATCATACATGGGATCTTGTCTCCTTACCTTCAGGGATGAAGCCTGTTGGCTGTCGCTGGGTTTACACCCTGAAGTTTCTGGCAGATGGTACTATTGATCGTTACAAGGCTAGACTTGTGGCGAAGGGCTTTACTCAGGTACCAGGTCGTGACTTTGGTGCTACATTTGCCCCCGTGGCAAAATTGACTACTGTTCGGTTAATTATTTCTCTGGCTGCGGAGTACTCTTGGCCTCTTCATCAATTAGATGTGAAGAATGCGTTTCTTCACGGTGATCTGAACGAGATTATTTATATGGATGCACCACCGGGCTTTCGTGGTGAGGGGGAGTATGCTGGAAAGGTATGTCGACTGCGTAAGTCTCTTTATGGACTGAAACAGTCGCCACGAGCCTGGTTCTCTCGCTTCAGTGATGTAGTTCTACGATTGGGGTTCACCAGGTGTCATTCTGATCATACCTGCTTTATTCGACGGAATACTTCTAGACAGTGTGTCATCCTTCTGGTATATGTTGATGATATTATTATTACTGGTGATGATGTTTCTGGGACTGCGCAGGTCAAGATAGACCTTGGGAAGGCCTTCGATGTGAAGGATCTTGGATTTCTGCGATACTTTCTTGGGATTGAGGTTGCCCGTAGAAGCAGAGGTATTGTTCTTTCTCAGAGAAAGTATGTTTTGGATCTTCTTTCAGACACTGGGATGTTGGGGTGCAAACCGGCATCATCACCTATGATTCCAAACCTGAAGCTTACTGCTGAAGGTGAGGAGTTGAAAGATCCGACAGTTTATCAAAGATTGGTAGGTAGACTTATCTACTTAGCCAATACTAGGCCGGACATTTCATTCGCAGTCAGTCGAGTTAGTCAGTTCATGCATAGGCCATGTCAGCCTCATCTTGATGCAGTTTATCATATTCTTCGGTACCTCAAGTCTTGTCCTGGACTTGGATTGTTTTATGCATCAGGATCTCAGACCGGTTCTCTAGCCTGTTATTCAGATTCAGATTATGGGGGAGCATGTGATGGTCGATCTACTACGGGTTTCTGTGCTTTTCGAGGGACTCATCTTATCTCTTGGAAGAGCAAGAAGCAGGCAGTTGTCTCCCGCTCGTCCGCAGAGGCAGAGTATCGGGCATTGGCACTTGGCACATGTGAGATTATCTGGCTACGATCGATTCTTGACGAGTTGGGTTTTTCAGTGACCTCTCCATCCACATTATATTGTGATAATCAATCTGCTATTCAGCTCGCTTCTGACTCTGTACTACATGAGAGAACGAAGCATATAGAGATCGATGTTCACTTTCTTCGGGAGAAGGTCACCAGTGGTCTTGTTACTCCATCGTTTGTGGGGACCAGTGATCAAGTTGCGGATGTTTTTACCAAACCTGTTACTCTGTCTATTCTTCGGGACTCCATTGTCAAGCTTGGCTTAGTTGACATTTTTGCGCCTAGCTTGAGGGGGAGTGTTGGAGTATAGATAGTAGTCTAGGTCTTTTTTACCCTTACTATGATTTTTATATTTTGCCTAAACTACAAGGATATTTAAGTCACTCTGTATTATTTTTGGCTATATATACGGGACTCTACTTTGAGTTTGTGTATCCCTTTCACATATTTCAAGTCATTTTAAAATTAAACGTATACTTCATTGTATAATTCGGTCTAGTTAATTGTTACATACATCCCTCTATATATAATTAACCAAATAAGTAGCAAAATGTTGGAATAATTTGAATTGATTTGACTCAAAAAGGTATACTGCATAATTAAAAATTAACAATTTAAATAACCTATGGTTATTATTGTTGAGCTAATCAATATTAAATGGGCCCTTTTTTTCTTTTCTCTAATAATATGTCGAATAGAAACTCGTATGCTTAATGATTTCTATAGCTAAGGCCTTTTTTTTTTTGGTTGAAAAAGAATCAACACTAGATACAAAGTTTTAACCCTCTTTTAGTATGTGTTGCCATTTCCAGGGTGGGGAGTTTTATTTTCCCCATCAAACTATTTGTTAAAATTCCAATAATAAACAACAAATTTTTTTTTTCTTTTTTCTCTTTGTGTCGTATCTAGAGAAGAGCAAATAGAGATCTTTTGATGGGTTATAAATAATGAATTGTTGATACTAATTAATTCAATTTTTAAATTTTTTTGGGTAACGTAACTTTCGAACTTCTTAACTTCTTTTCTCTGAAATATTATATACAATTCAACATATCTTTTGCTTTCAACCCAATCAATAAAAGTCATTAGCTTAGTTAGGATATTATGTACAAAAAATATGTTAATTTTAAATAATTCAAATTGGGGTCCTATTTTGCTTCAATTGTACGGGTGTGTTTAGATAGGTATTAGGAATGAAGATTGAAAAACATATCCCCTAGCCCAGCTTATACATTTTTTTTCCAATTGGATACACAATTTGAGCTTGGTACTATCACTTAAAATAGTCCATGCCCGCCTGAATAGTAGTTATATTCTCACATACACCTAAATTTAACCCACCTATTTTGTGGGTTAAAGAGTCTGGGTTGGAGTACTATTGAAGGAAAATACATTTTTATCCCTCAGAAGCAAAAGACATGGGTATGGATTAGACTAACTTGGGTTTTTTTTTTGGTAATTTTAATGGTTATACTATCATTCAATACCCCATTCAAACAAAGTGTTATATATGGAATGAGTGTTAAACTATTACTTTTCAATACTTGAACCAATAAAACGATGAGCTTTAGATTTGTCTTTCTTCTTCAGCTAAATTGGTATGGAATGGCTGTGATTATCCAATCAAGTCAATTGCAATGCCTAATCCAACATCTCCATTGAGTTATTGAAAACTCTTTACATAAGTATGTACCTCTTATGATTGGACTCTCAGAATTACAGGAGCGCAATTGACTAATTTTTCATGTATATAAGCATGGGAGTGTGGCAGATGCCTGAATTAGGCTAATTCACAAATATGCTCACGAAAATTGGAATGGACACAAGGTCGACCCAAACTGTTGAAGTTCATCTCAACAACTAGATTGTTCAGTAAGTAAAAGTACAATGCAGAGCATACCTTCTTGAGGAATAATTATCCTTCTTTTGGTTGGCAAACTCTCTTGATTTATACATTTTTAATAGTACAATAAGTGGAGTAATGTTAGTACATTTTAATATTAAACATATAATTCATTCTATAATTTGGTATTGGTTCATATATCCTTCCATGGCTAGATGCTCAATGCGAATTACTTTATGATACATGAACACTGGGTGGGGCCAAAAAATCATGTCTAGGTGGGTACTAAGCTTTAATTTTTTTTTCTTACAATCGATAAAAATATGATAATAATTTATATTTAATTACTTTCTATTTAATATTTAAAGGTCATTAAACTCAATAGACAAAAACTAGTAAACATAATATATACAAACGACAACAACAAAAAAAAAGACTAATTATATTTTTTTACAAAATATAGACTAATTAAAATCATTTAAAATAGTTCTCGATGAATTTTCATATTTTGAAATCGTTTCATAACAACTTTTTATTCTCTATATACAAAATCATGCTATCAGTTCACTATTTATCACTCATTCGAT